CCCTGTTTTGTTATTAGCCAATACATTTAGGGAGATAAATTGCCCCTAAGCTGAGACACTAGTTGCTAGTTTTCTAGGCCAGCGTGAATTTTTATGGCTAACAGCTTCCTGACAAATGAGGTTCATAGTGCAAGACTGAGGATGCAGCCTTAGCTGAACCTGAACTGAAATCAGCCACTCTAATTCACATGCTATCATAGCCCTTAAAGACAATACTCACAATAAACGTAATGATGATGTCACTGTCGCAGCTGAACCAAGCCCTTAGTGGCATTGTTAATATCTCCAACTTCAGCCACTGTGAAGAGCTTCATTACTTGGTTTCCATGCTACTGGTAGGATATCCAGCTCTCCTTTACCAAGGGTGATTCTAACAGTTTATTTTAACTGCTTTGTTTGCATAGTACAGGAAGGCTAACTTGATGTGAAATCTGATGCCTGGAGCAGAAACATATTATAGCATGGTAACAAGTGGTTCTTTTTCCCCTCTTAGCCTATAATGGCAGTACAGAACCACTGGGGGGCACTCACATTAGCATATACCTGGAAAGCTGCAGAACAAACACCTTTCAGGTATGTTCATTTATTCCACAGTACTCCCATTGCAACTGAGTGTACTGTAAAATGGAAAAGAGAATTTGTGGAAGGCTAGGCAATCTGAAAACAAAGTAAACCCTTGACCGAAGCTTCTACTTATAATTTGCTCATTTAGTTTGTCATAGTAAACATATATATTGCACAATTCAAGTGAAAAGATGAAGAGTGAAAGGAGTTGTATCTATGAAAGCTTATGCCCTAATAAATTCATTAGTCTATAAGGTGCCACCGGACTCTTTGTTGATTTTGCTTAAACAAACTAAATCATGGCTACCTCTCTGAAATCTGCAGGAATATATGTTTCTCAGTGTCAGGCATTTTGGGTGTCAGAGTAATCTGAATGAGAGAAGAGTGTTTTTAAGGTCTAAATGCAGCGTGACTTGTACATTTCTCTTTCCTACAACATTTGTGTGGCCACCTCTCTGAGCTCAAGGTTACGAAGGAAGTCACATTATAGCCAGAGATGCTAGTTGCCAAGGTTGAATGATTAATGTTTTGCCATCTGCCATACAGTTCCCAAGAGGGTTCAGATTGCCAGAGCTAATTCAAGGAACTGCTTTCTGGTAAATCCTTGAACATTTGAGACCAAAATCCAAACCTTGGATAAAGTCTCCACTTGTACTTGTTTCAGACAGGTTAGTTAAATGAAATTGGTACTGAAATGGATGAATAAGTACTTGGGGTGGGGGGAAGGCTTTCTCATGTATGTACTATTTGTTATATTTAAGGGGTGTCTTTCAATGATCAATGTTTGCAGAGATCATGAATGTAAAACACAGAACATGTCTCAAATCTTGACTCTTCTCAGCAGCTTGGCACTGGTGTCGCTGAACTGTCATTAGAACAGGAGGGAAGTCTGAAAATTAGGCAGAGCTCATGTTAGATCACTAAGCAAGATTTCTTGTTTTGCTCTGAGTTATACTTTTATAAAGTCATCATTGGGATTATTCTCCTTCTCACAATGCTCCCCCTGCAAATAGAGGGCCTGTTGTTTTTCAGTGGTGTCCAACCAGTTCTGAAGCAGTAGCCTATATAGTGGCTACTGTAATAGCAAACTAGCCACACTTAACTGGTCAAATAGCCACATGTAGCTAGTGGCTAGTGTGTTGGACACCACGGTTTTAAATAGAGTCCAATAGCTAGTGTTTATCACTCCCTAAATTGTATGCTGGGAATGAATGGACATCTATGGTAAAATTTTCAAAAGCACCCAATTTTCACCTAACTCTCCTCTCTTTGTAGGAGGAAACTGGTGTGTAAAAAGTGAAAAAAAAATTATTTACTAGTTCCCATAACATAAGAACTAGGGGTCACCAAATGAAATTAATAAAACACAGGGTTCAAGAAGGAACTAGATAAATTCATACAGGTTAGGTCCATCAATGGCTATTACGCTGGATGGGCAGGAATGGGGTCCCTAGTCTCTGTCAGAGGCTGGGAATGGGGAATGGGAGAGGGCTTGCTTGATGATTCCTTGTTATGTTCACTCCTTCTGGGGCATCTGGGATTGGCCACGGTCAGAGACAGGATACTGGGCTAAATGGACCTTTTGTCTGACCCAGTATGGCCGTTCTTATTATGTAGCTGTTTTGAAAATCCCACCTCTGGAGTCCATTAGCAGCTTGTGGTTGGGGAAATTTGATGACAATTAAAATATGGTGAAGATTGAATGACCTGTCATTACTGATGTGGTGTGGCTTATCAGGTGAAATGTCAGAATGTTGGAAGATGGCCACTTATTGCTGCGCATACACTGTATTTTCCGAGAATAGCAAACTCTGGGCCAGATCCCCAGCTCGTATAAATGATCATAGGTCCACCTACTTCAATAGACTTATGCCATCTGGCACCAACAAATCTGGTTTCTAGTATTATCAGTTGGGCTCCTCTCACCAGTAATACACTCACCTGGGGTTAGCCAATGAGAAGCTCTATGGGCAATAGTATCTTTACAATGGGATACTTAAAAATATTACAGCCCAGTTTTCTAATCAAGATGCTTGCAGATCCCAGGTACCTCAGGTGGAGCTGAAGTACATCAGACCTTTGAAAATCAGGGCATTTAAATATGGATTTAGATGTTTAAACATGTCTACACCTGTGTTTGAAATAGATGGTCTTCACCCCTCTCAAAATCCTTCAAAAATCTTCCTGCTTGTTTAACTTTTCCTGTTTTAAAATAAATTTTTATTATTATTTATGATATACCTGACTCCTCCAGAGATCACTTTGTCAGTGTCTGTGATTACTGGAGTCAGCCAGCAACACGATAGAACTTGCTTGTTTACATAGCTCTGAGGGTTATGACAACACATCAGAATGTACAGGTGCCATGTTAGGATGCAGCTTGCAATTCAGATCAGTTGACTCAACTCTTCAATAAAGAATTTCCTAGTTTTAAAACAATTTAATCTTGTTGTTCTCCTCAAAACAATCTGCTTAATGCAACTTTTTTTGATCTCATTAACTTTAAATTTATTTTAACTAAAGCTGAGAATTAACAATTGCAAAACAATTGCACTAACTGAAAAGAAAATTAAACCCATAAAATGTGTGGTAAATGCAGTTTCCTCATAATTGCTGCTAATGTGATGCCAAGCTAATTACAAAACAGTTTTAATATGCTTTTTACTCTATTTGGTGTCATTTCAGTTTTGCAGTATGAAATTCAGACATGAATGAATCAGGAAAACATGCTTCAGATTAAGATTAGATTTAGGTCTGTACTTCAGTTTTGACTTTAAGACCATGCCAAAGCTAAGTAAAGGGGCTGAAATCTTACAAACTATTCTCATTAGCCTTCAGCACCATATGGAAATCCCATGAGTTGTACTAATCTTGCAATTTTCATGTACGGAAATCTGGTCAGATCTGCTCTTCTTGCAAAAAGGCTGCCAGTCTGAGCTGCAAGTGAACCATATAACTTGAAAATAGACTGGTTTTAGACCCACCCCAGAACCAATGCCACTTGACACCACCCTGGAACCTGGCTATACCATTTACATTGGCTATAACTTAAAAAACATTTTTGTAATTTGTTCTGGCTTTGCTGATATCTCCTTACCACATAGTGAGGATTAGCCATAGCCATCGTTTTGTACAAAACCGAGTAATTCTCCAGAGCCCTTTCATCTGTTAAAAATTGCTATTGTGCATTACTTCCCTACGTATAGCTGGATGAAATATGCAGTTTTTGCACATGCCTGTTCATTTGTCAGGCAGAACACTGAAGTGTGATGCAACTTTTATTCCAGAAATGGGAAACAAGTGCATTAGTTCAGAATATGTCACATCTACCTCTGTCTGTCTCTCGCAACTATGAAGTGTACCACACGCATATCCATATCTTTATGGGGACATCTTCTGGAATCATCTACATATCTTCCTTTGATCCCTTAATCTTCAAATGCCCTTAATTGAATTGCATTTTTCTGTCAGAGAACAGCTGCATACGACTCCCTTTATAGTCTGTCACTCGACATGTCAAAGAGAAATGCTTAA